ACACCTGGACAGGTAACACACACCTGGTGCAGGGAACACACCTGGGACAGGTGAGTTGGGACAGGCGCTGCAGCCTGCTGAGGACCCACAGGTAAGGGGGACAGGTGGGATGGGTGGCACACCTGGGGCAGGTGACCCCCGGGTGCCACACATTTCCCAGGTGTCACACAGGTGTCTCACGGGTGTCTCACAGGGGTCCCTCAGGTGCCACACCTGCCCAGGTGAGGCTCACCTGTCCCAGGTGTGTCCCAGGTGTCACACAGGTGTCACACAGGTGTCACACAGGTGTCAGGTGTGTCCCAGGTGTCACACAGGTGTCACACAGGTGTCAGGTGTGTCCCAGGTGTCACACAGGTGTCTGTCTAACAGCTGTCCCACAGGTGTCCCACAAGGTGAGGCTCACCTGTCTCACGTGTCTCACCTGTCTCACCTGTCTCACGTGTCTCACCTGTCCGCAGCTGCCCAAGGAGCAGGTGCTGAAGCTCTACCAGACGATGACGCTGCTCAACACCATGGACCGGATCCTGTACGAGTCCCAGCGCCAGGTACGGCTCACCTGGGCTCACCTGGGCACACCTGGGGGCTCACCTGAGCTCACCTGGGCACACTTGGGCTCACCTGGGCTCACCTGAGCTCACCTGGGCTCACCTGGGCTCACCTGGCCGCCCCCAGGGCCGCATCTCGTTCTACATGACCAACTACGGCGAGGAGGGGACGCACGTGGGCAGCGCCGCCGCCCTGGACGCCGCCGACCTCGTCTTCGGGCAGTACCGCGAGGCAGGTGAGCCCACCTGGGCAGGTGAGGGGCTGCTGAGCACAGGTGAGCACAGGTGAGGGGCTGCGGAGCACAGGTGAGCCCACCTGGGCAGGTGAGGGGCTGCTGAGCGCAGGTGAGCTCAGGTGTTACACAGGTGTCACACAGGTGACCCAGGTGAGCCCCTTACCTGCCCCCAGGTGTGCTGCTGTACCGGGGGTACCCCCTGGAGCTGTTCATGGCTCTCTGGGAGGGGACGTACAGGTGTGACACAGGTGTTACACAGGTGTCACACAGGTGTGACTCAGGTGTCACTCAGGTATCACACAGGTGTGACATACCTGTCCCAGGTGTGCTGCTGTACCGGGGCTACCCCCTGGAGCTCTTCATGGCGCTCTGGGAGGGGATGTACAGGTGACACAGGTGTGACCCAGGTGTGACTCAGGCATTACACAGGTGTCACACAGGTGTGCCAGGTGTGACCCGTACCTGTCCCAGGTGTGCTGCTGT